TACATACATTTCAAAGGAACGGATAAACATTTTTTTCTTGAGTCTTGAGTAAGAAAAAGTAGTCTAAAGAAAGATTTTTGTTAATAAAAGTGACTAGATTTTATTTCTTAAACACTCTAAATTTTACGTAAAAAGATGACTTTTATTTATAAAAAAATTAGTAATAACTTCTTCAGTTTTTGATTTAGTTAAGCTTGACCTTTTTGGTTTGAATTATAAAAAAAACCTTCTATTCAAAAGAAACTATACACATGGAAGGGTTATATAACTTAATTAATCTTCTTCTTGAATACACAATTAGTTACAATCAGTAATATATTGCTAGTTGCTATTATAACTTGTTGATAATTATGATAACTATGATAATTATAACTTTTTGATAACTATGTTTTACCTTTTTATACCATTTCTGTTTTTTGTTTTTTTTTACTTTATTAAAATTTGTATTTAGCATAACTGTAAAGTAAAATATACATGGATGTTTTTCATTAATAATGACAATTAGTGAAAGTGTCAATATTATTGACAGTTAATGGCAGTGAAAATGGTTTGTAAAACTCTTTTACTTTTAATTCTATCGTTCACGTGTGGAATCGATTTCAATTTTAAAATTCCTCTTGAAACACCTGGATTAATAGGTAATTACGTTACTACTTTATTACGCTGTGTGGTTTTTTAAATTAAAACAATTTTAAAACAAAATTGCATTTTATTCCTCTAAAGAAAACTTCTTTTATTGTACAAGTTTACGTTTACAGGTAGCCAAACATCTAACATGTGCTTTTTTTGATTTAAACTGCTAAAAGTGTTTATTGGTAAAAGATTTTGTATATGACAAAATTTTTCTCGTATATAAATAGATTTCAAAAAGTTAATTTTTTTCACGATTTTAATAAAAGAGTTAGTAGTGAACTGCGAGGTAGTAGTTATATTTTCATTGTTTTTTTTAATGTTTGCAAAGATAGACAACACAGCATTTTAAAACTCAAATGAGGTAAAAATAAGGTTTATGAAAAAGCGTGGCTGCCAAGTTTTTGAAACCATGTGCTTGCCAACTAAACATGAAACTATTAAAACCACCTGGTTTCTAACTAAACATGAAGTTTTTGAAACCATTTAGTTGCGAACTAAGTTAGTATTAAGTTAAGCTTAATTATATATATTTTTTCTTATCTTTAGACATTTAACTGTACCAATAATCAGTTTGTTATAACTTTGTACTTTCGTAGAAAGTTTTAATTTTTTTAACTTCTTTATATACTATAAAATGCGATTAATCTAATCGTGTTTGTTAATAAATGTTTATTGCAGGTTTACATAGAGTTTGCGAGTTAAAAGGTTTTTTACTGCGCAAAACTCTAGAAACGATTGTTTTTAAATCACCGTGTGTTTTAGTAAAACATCATGTGATTTCAGTAAATAGTATAAAATAATTGTTTTTTCCACTAATTTACAAAAACGTTTCAGGCGGTTTTAAATTAGAAAATACTAGAACAAAATTAAAACAAACTTTGGAATCTGCTTCACACTTTGCTAATGACAAAAAAATGCGGAAGCGGATACGCAAAAAAAATGAAAGCTTTGTTTCCGGATCTTAAGGCGAGTTTCATCCGTTTTTTTACGGGAACGGGAAAGGAAAGGTAAAAATAATCACGTGGACATGCGTAGTGTATGTTTTAATATGTTCGAAAGAAAACTACGCATGCTTACGTGCTTTCCTATCCCGTTCACGTGAAAAAACGGATGAGTGGAAACTCACCTTAATTGAAAAATAAATAAATACATTTTAGTTTTAAAAGAAATCTTTGAACAAAATAATCATAAACTATTACTATTTTTATTATTATTGTTATTATTATTAATGATTATTATTACATGGCTGTCAACAAGTTATAAAAAGTGGAGGGGCCATTTTTAGTAACGTAGCATAAAATGTTTAAAACTTTGGTATTCTAAATGCGATATTATTTAACCGTTTTAACTCAAGATGCCATATAAGTACATATTTTTTACATTTAAATGAAATCTATTGTTTCATTTTAACGTAAAAAATGTATGTATTTAAGAATATTAAAAAACTAATAAATTTCATCTGTTTAAAATTATCTTTAACAAACCGTGAAAGCTTTCGTCGTGTTTGGACACAATTTTTTTTTTTTTTTTTTTTTTTGTATCTATAAGAGAATATATATTTATTTAGATTTACATTTCGCAGTAACAACGGCAGGACTTCTTGAAGATCATGAGGATCTTATCATGTAGCCCTTAAAAAATATAATACATTTACACTTTTTCAATATAATTTTAATTAAAAATAAACTGTTCGTAATGAAATAATAATACATCTTTTTATAAAAAACCTAGTATTTGTTAGTCTAAAACAAAAAAATGATGGAGATAGATGGAGATATTTGACTATTTCAGTCTTAGTTTTGAGGACCTTTTTTTTTTAGGAGTCTGTCGGAACCTTTAAAAATTCAAGATGCACCAAGATGCAATGCGGTGGCATTAAAAAACTCTTGTGAGCTGAAGAAATCTTTTTGTTCTAGGAAGTAAAAAGATCTTAGAAATGCTCTGATTAAAGGCTTAAAACGCTAACATTGAACAAAAAGATGAACAAAAAGTTGTTCTTTGCAGACAAAGTTCTGTCTCACTGTGGACCAGAGATGAGTTTAGGTTTAATGGCTTAAAACGCCAACGTGGCATTTAGATGAACAAAAAGTTGTTCTTTCATTAGCAGACAAATTTCTGTCTAATATCAATAAAGTAGAAATGTTATAAAAAAATTGTAAAAATTGTGTTTCGTTTAACTTATGTACTAATTTTGTTTACAGCAACTTTTTCATTTTCTTACAACTAATAATGCTTTTGACGAATGAAACATGATGGAAGGCTTTTAATCAAGCCACGAGAAGGGCGGCTCAACTAAGTAAAAAGTTGACATGATAAATTCTCGATCATGATAAATTCTCGATCATGATAATGATCTCAATCATGATATGATCTCGATCATGATAATGATCTCGATCATGATAATGATCTCGATCATGATAATGATCTCGATCATGATAATGATCTCGATCATGATAATGATCTCGATCATGATAATGATCTCGATCATGATAATGATTTCGATCATGATAATGATCTCGATCATGATAATGATTTCGATCATGATAATGATCTCAATCATGATATGATCTCGATCATGATAATGATCTCAATCATGATATGATCTCGATCATGATAATGATCTCAATCATGATATGATCTCGATCATGATAATGATCTCGATCATGATAATGATCTCGATCATGATAATGATTTCGATCATGATAATGATCTCGATCATGATAATGATTTCGATCATGATAATGATCTCAATCATGATATGATCTCGATCATGATAATGATCTCGATCATGATAATGATCTCGATCATGATAATGATTTCGATCATGATAATGAAGTCTTTAAGACTCTCAAAGTATTCAAATTCATTTTTGATATCAACCCTTTATCAAAGTGTAATATAAATAGCAAGCCTTAAGGAATTAATTATTTACATTGCGATTTATATTTAAGGTAGGACAGCGCACCTTCTGTTGGAAAACAGAATTTTGAACTCGCTGGAAAGAGCTGTGTCTTAATCTACTGAGTTCTGATGATTGATCAGTTTTCAATTTTTTTGACCGAGTATATTGATACAGATGACAAGATTGAGTTTGATCCTCATCATCTCTTATCAAATGAATAAGACTGTTTTGCCTTATGTGCATACCAGTTCTCATTTCATGCATTTCACATGCATTTTGAGGTTCCCGGATGTAGCTCTTTGAAAAAGAGCTCTTATTTCCATGTTATTCCCGGTCAATTTCTACTTTCATTCATTCTAATCTGACAGTCAGAAGATGGCTCGAAAGATGTAATCTTCAGATTACATCTTTTACGTCGCTAACAAATATAGATTTCCTCCTGTATTTCTCTTTTTTGCAATATTGAGAAAACTATTTCTCAATTATTGAAATCATTCAAACTTCCTCTTTACGATCTGTTTTGTCCATCCGCTTCAATTTTGTCTTAAAAAAAAAAGATAAAAGATTAAAAAAACAACAGAAAAACACATATATGCAGGATATAACTCCTGTTATATAGGCGAAATTACTAGACATCTCAAGAGGCGAATATCTGAATATTACAAAAGGGACAAAAAGTTTTATATCTATAAGCATCTCTATGCTAATGAAAACTATGTTCATAGAATGGTCAAAATCTGGTATAAATAAACAAGTTAACCATGTACAAATGAAAATTTCTGTTTAGCAACTACTTTCTATACATACTGCGTATCTTTTTAATCTATTCTTTTGTTATTTCTTATTTCTTTAGATATAACCTTTTAATTGATTTTATTGTATTTTTGTAATTATATTACTATTAGATTGAACAACATTTTATATTACGAAGTTTAATGTCTTTTTTTTTTATTGGTGCACGCTAGTATTTTAATAATCTTTTTTGAAATAAAACTATACTATGTGGCTGATGAGTGCAGGGGCTGGTTTTTATACACCGACTAAGGAGGGGGCTAACAAGATCTTTTAAAAAAAAAAGGTCCGCATATTTCTATTTTTAAGTACCTTTCTTTTTAATTTTTTGTACTTTAGTGTAATAACCAAGTTCATATACGTATAATTACGGATAATGGTCAATTTAAAAAAGAATTTTTTGAAAAAAAGTCTCAAGGGGGTGGGCTATTACCCCATCCCCCCTTCCTTAAAACCCGCAACTTGATGAGTGCCGGAAATGGCATGAAGAAGTTGTTTGTTTTTCTTATCAAACTTTTTAATTATTTTTGATCTACTTTGTGATTATTTTAATTAATATGGATCACTCTTAAATTAAACAAGAGTTGTTTGTTATTATATAAACTATATCTTAATAACAAAATATATATCTTAATAACAAAAATGCTTTACATGAATTATATACTTTAGATTTTCCTGTAATATTTGATGAACTTTTATCTTTTCTTGCTGTTCGTGCAAACTTAACTATATTTAGTATATCAAACTTGACAATGCGAGAGCTTTTTGAGAAAACAGTTGGACCATATTGGGATTCGCATGTTTCAAAATATTTGCAAAACAATCATATTTCACTTGATGTTGTTTCAGTTATAGAGAAAATGCTTTTAGGTGATTTAGTTAATAAAATGCCACGCTATGATCTTCAAGATTTTTGGAATGTACCAGTAAAAGCTTTATTATATCAATCCTCTTTTTACTTAAAAGAAACAGGAATTGAAGATGTTATAATCATGTTAAAAAGTGTTTACTTTGAAAATCAGAAATCTGTAACTTTTGAATTTCAAGGGATCAATATTAGTCAACCGTATATATTGTACATATACCCTTATGTTAAAAATGTAGTCATAAAACTGCAGTTTAACCAGACTTTGCGCATTATGAAAGCTTTTGAAATTACTTTAAGTCAGCTAGCCGTTTTATCATTTGACTCGTTCGATAAAATAAATGAAATAATGGCAAATGAAGTGTTCTGTAAATTACATAAACAAGGCTCTTCTTACTATCACAAAGAAATTTTAAATATATTAGTTCGTATTCAGATGTATAGATCAAGTTTTTATCAATGGAGTCTTCTTTGTAACCAAAATTCTTTGATTCATTCTCAGGAAGTAATCAATTATATCAGCAACAGATGTTTCAAGCAAGATTTCTCAAATGTTGGATTAATTCTTTACAATCTTTCTGCTGAATATGCAAATGTTTTTAAATTGTTGACCGTAGAAGAATCTAGTATTTTAGTTAACAGAACCTTGTTAAATTCAAATTTAATTCCAGTACAAAACCAACTCGCAGAAATGATCAAAGTAATGAAGATTGTAAACACTGCAAAATCACGTTGCATTATTTTTCTATTAAACGATATCGGTCTATCTTTAAATTCGATTATTTACTTAACTATAAGCAATATTCTAACACGTGTTCACGACCTTCCTTGGTCAATATTAGTAAAACTATACGAAATTGAAGAATATGTTGCTGTTAAGGCAAACTTTATAATTTTTCGAGATCTACCAAAACTCATTAGTGGAGAAAACAAAATTCAAACAATTGATTTGAAATTTTTACAACTTCAAACTATTCAACTCATTTTGAATGCATTATCTGTTAAAATAAATGCCACTGCGCTGTCCAATCAATATAAAGATATTTCTATTTTGATGAGCAAATTTCCTTTAACTCGGTTTGCAGCTGTTTTTGATTTATCTCATGAGTATGTGATAAACTCGACTTTAACATCACTAACGTATGCATCGTTTAATTTAAACTATAATGATTTCCTTGAGAATTATGGTGTTACACCCTCTCAATACAGTTTTTTTGACCGTACGACTATAAAAGATATGGGTTTGTTGTTAAAACTTGAAAAAAAGGATTTAATTTTTTTAGCAATAAATCAACTCATTGCAAGTATGAAGTCTAATATTATTTTTTTTAACATAATGCTTATGACCCCGGTAAAATTAGCTTCAAGTAATAACAAAACTGTAAACTTTCAACTGAGCATACCTCAAATTGTACATGAGATAGGTAATGGTGTAGTTAAAACTTTAGATGAATTCTTAAATTTTATAAAAAGGTGGTCTACTTCTGAGTCCGCTATAATAATACTGACTGAAAAAGATTTAAACGATCTAGGAATGCTCTTAATGCGACCTACAACTGAAGTTGCTAACATGAGAATTGTTGATGTTGTTAATGCCATTCTTGATAGTAAGTTTTAAATCTTAAAAGTTCAAAATTTTATAAACTGTTTTATACAGATTTAATTGCATAAATATATTGTTTTAATATTGTTTTAATATTGTTTTAACATTGTTTTAACATTGTTTTAACATTGTTTTAATATTGTTTTAGTATTGTTTTAACATTGTTTTAACATTGTTTTTATATTGTTTTAATATTGTTTTAACATTGTTTTAATATTGTTTTAGTGTTGTTTTAATATTGTTTTAACATTGTTTTAATATTATTTTAACATTATTTTAATATTGTTTTAACATTGTTTTAACATTGTTTTGACATTGTTTTAACATTGTTTTAACATTGTTTTAATATTGTTTTAGTGTTGTTTTAACATTGTTTTAGTGTTGTTTTAATATTGTTTTAACATTGTTTTAATATTGTTTTAACATTGTTTTGGCATTATTTTAACATTGTTTTAACATTATTTTAACATTATTTTAATATTGTTTTAATATTGTTTTAACGTTGTTTTAATATTGTTTTATTAATGTTTTAACATCGTTTTAATAATGTTTTAATATTGAATTAATACTGTTTTAATATTGTTTTAAAATTAAATAATAAAAAAATTGTTTTTAATAAATCAAATTATATATTATTTTCTACTAGCATTTGGTGATCACTGCGATCCACAAAACTTGTATTGTAAAAAGTTACAAGTATGCACAAAAATGTCAGAAAATGGCAGCCGATGTCAATGTCAACTTGGGTACAGATTTTCTGGTCCTTCTGAATGCTCAGGTACATAAATTTAAAAAAAATTCATGGAAAATAATTTAAGATTTTTTATTAATACAAAATTATTTTTAAAGCAAAATATAATAAATTTTAATATTTTTTATTGAACAATTTAGACTTGAACGAATGTTTATACACAAATGTCACTTGCCATAAAAATGCTTACTGCAAAAACACAGAAGGTTCTTACCACTGCTTGTGTAAAATTGGGTATAATGGTGATGGTAGGTTTTGTAACAACGTAAATGAATGCTCAATAGGTACATACAATTGCAGTAACAATACTTTTTGTATGGACACAGAAGGTTCGTATAAATGTATATGTAATAAAGGTTTCATAGAAAACCAATTCGGTCAATGCATTGAAATTGATAAATGTGCACTTGAAACGTATAACTGTCATGTCAATGGATTATGTATCAAAACATCAAATAACTATACGTGCCAATGTCGCAATGGTTTTACGGGAGACGGGACAACAAGTTGTTTAGACGTAAACGAATGTGAAACTAAAAGTTACAACTGCACAGCAAACTCACACTGTTTAAATACCATTGGAAGTTATTTGTGTATATGCAATGAAGGTTATTTTAATGATAATAAGTTCTGTCATCAATGTTCTGACACTAGATTCACGTGTCATAAGTATGCTGAATGCTATAAACAAATATATAATAACTTCTATTGCGTTTGTAAGATTGGATTTATTGGAAACGGAACCTTTTGTCAAGATATTGATGAATGTAAAAACGAAAATATATGCGGAATGGGGCAATGTAAAAATCTTATAGGTAGTTACAGTTGTTTATGTTACCAAGGATACAGACTGAATTTTGATAATAAAAGATGCATAGATATTGATGAATGTAAGGAAAGTTTAAATTTGGGAATTTTTCTCTGCAACAAATCACAACAACAATGCCTAAACAAAGAAGGAAGTTATGCTTGCATTAGTAAGTAAAAACCTTTACATTAATTTGTGTTACTTTTTTATTTGCGTTACTAAGATACAGTTTAATCTTTTATTTTTTACCTGCAAATAGTAATACAGAATTTTTTGTTGGTATTTTAATTCCGAATAACAACTTATAATAAATTGACAAATAATCAATAATTTGTTTTTAAAATTAATAGTAATTATATCATTATAAATATATCTATATAAATATATCACTTATTATAGTGATAACATATATATTAAAAATATATATGTTATCACTTTAACAAGGTTTGAATTTTTTATAAAATTTAGAAAGATTTGAATTTTTTACAAATTTTTTAAAATCTTTTTTTTTTTAATTTTTCAAAAATATTCGACTTATAAAAAATTTTAAAAACCTTTAAAAAGTAACCCTCAATGTCGATTTTGATTATTCGCTTCTTTTTTTTTTTCTAATACTTTTTATGGAAAATAGTATTCATTAAAAAAGTTTTTTTTTGATAGCATAAAATAAAAAAAGACTTCATAGCCTTCAAAAAAAAGCCTTTGCTTAAAAAATGAATTTTTTTTCAATCTTAAAACAATTAAAGGTTTTCTAGATACAAAGTATCAGTCACTATATTGTACTTTTTTTCTTCAATTTTTTCTAATCAATCATCTTTTTGTTAAGATTATCTTATCAACCGCCTTTTTGGTAAGATTATCTTATCAACCACCTTTTTGGTAAGATTTTCTTATCAACCACCTTTTTGGTAAGATTTTCTTATCAACCACCTTCTTGGTAAGATTTTCTCATCAACCACCTTCTTGGTAAGATTTTCTTATCAACCACCTTCTTGGTAAGATTATCTTATCAACAACCTTTTTGATAAGATTATCTTATCAACCACCTTCTTGGTAAGATTATCTTATCAACCACCTTCTTGGTAAGATTTTCTTATCAACCACCTTCTTGGTAAGACTATCTTATCAACCACCTACTTGGTAAGATGGAATTTGGTACCACCTACTTGGTAAGCTGAAATTTTATTTCTCTCTTCTTTTGCTACAAGCATCGCCGTTGGCAATGAGTCTCGCAAACATTATGCAAATATTTTTATTAGCACTTTCATTTGTTACTTGCATGTTTTTCACAAACTGAAAAACTTTCTGTAGCTCTCCAATTTATTCCATTACCTGAAATTTCTAATAGCCCATTTATTAACGTCTTCCTTGGAAACACCAACAAATGTCAAAATGAAGCTCTCAACAACTCCCCCCGTTGCGAAAGAATATACTCAGCTTGACTAATTTACCTCTGGCAAAGTTATTATATTATAAAGCGCGTAAGTCAAGTAGACTAGGACTTTTATGACTCTTTCATAAAATAAGAAGAAGTCAGAGTGCTCCAAATGAAATAAGAAGAAAAAGCCAGAGTGCTCCAAATAAAATAAGAAGTCAGAGTGTTCCAAATAAAAAATATCGTATTCTCTAACTTTTTTACCTCATTAAAAATATCTAGCCAGATTTTATTAAATTTAATATTAAGTGATTTTTGTAATCATTTAGCTCCTCCTAAAAACACTTCTATTAAATACGTAATAAGAACTTTATATTTTTTTTAAACTGAAAACTCTAAGTATAATTGAGTTTGTAATTTTGGAAAGAGCTGCTATGGCTCCATGGTGTTTACGAGTATTGTAACTAGTTGTAATCACGCGCAAAAACATGGTTTACACAATCATAGTATTGAAAAATATTAAAGATTTCTTTTGCATGAAATTCTCCCATTGAATTCTTAATTATGTGAACAACTAGCAAAAAGCCTTTTGAATCTAGAGCATCTAAAGAGGAGAAACTTTTGAACCTAGAGCATCTAAAGAGGAGAAACTTTTGAATCTAGAGCATTTTTGTTTCTCCAATATAAACGCCACCGCATGAACACGTAAACTTATACACACCCGGTGGTGGCGTTTATATTGGAGAAACAAAAAAGAAAATTATACAAAGAAGTATTGAGCATCAGATAAACAGTATGAAAGGTAATTGGCATGCTTCCGGAGCCACAGAACACTGCAAGAACTGCCACGGTATATTTAATTGGATGCACCCAAAAACGATTGCATTCAAGTCTAACTACCATGAAAGGCAAATAAGAGAGTCACTTGAAATTAATTATGCCCAAACAAATTACGAAATAAGACACTTCCCACCGCTTTTGAACAAAGACAACGGTGTTAAAATTGCGTCAAATAGCTGGCGACCTCTTTTTAAAAAAATCATAGAAATTTCAAAATAGTTGTTTACGTTACGTCAGCTCATCTTTGTAATGTCTTCTATAACGGTTTTTTACATACGTTTTTTTTTTTTTGTGTGTGAGATTTTTATTGTATTTAATTTTACGTCTGATGACGGTCTGAACTATTCAGACTGAAATATTACATAAATAATTAAAATATTAGTACTTAGCTGTATTGTATGTGTTATAAATTAAATAAAAAAAGTCTTTTACTTGTAAATAAGATGCTTTTCTGCTCAATTATTTATTTCACAATTCTAGTGTCAAAGTGTAACATTAATCACTAACATTAATTAGGGACTTCTCGGTGTTCAGAACCTCGCTGTCAATTACTGGTTAATCTCCAATTTCACTATCATTAGTGTGTTCAACGTCATTGGATTATTTAAGCCTCCCCTTATAGTTATTCTGTTCTTCGATCGGACTCACCAATTTTTTTATAATAGAGACGTTATACCAGTATACAGCTAGTGCGGTGATTTTTCTCAACGATACCATTCCTTAAAAGACAGTAGGCTGCTTGAGGATTTAAATACACACCCTAGAACACCCTTTGAATACACACTCTAGTTCTTTAGAAAAGTTTTAGTCTCTTTACTTCTAAATTTAGAACTGTAGTTTGTCCATATTTCTTTAGGTGCTCTTTTGTGAAAGAGGAGCACCTATATTTTTTAAAGAAATATTAACAAACTACTTGAAATACCACAATCATTTAAACTTAGGTAATGACACCCCTGTTATGATTTACATACATGCCTAATCTTATTCAACATTTTTTAACTTTTAGCTTTTTAAATATCATTTGTATCTGGTTTTCTGTTGTTGCTAGAAACTTTTTCCGATGAGTCATAAAGTTTGCCTAACTCCAAACTATCCAGTTTGTTAGAGTATTTCCAAAATTAAATTTTTTTTGTTAAATAATTTAGCCACTATTTGCAGAGCTTTCAAGTTTTAACATTTTCATCCACCGTTTATGTTCTATGGCTAACGGATCGGTCAGATTACCTTATGATAATATCAGCTTTACGCCAATCTCCAAGTAGTATTTGTCAACTAACTCCCGAAACACCGTTACTCTTTGTCGTTCCATTGACGCTTTTGACTTCTGTCTCAATTTTCGGTTAAAATATAAAAAATCAAGTGAAAGATTGCTACAAAGTCTGTGAACAATCGCAATTGGTTGAGCTTCTATGCAAAAGTCATATTAACACCACGCAAAACGGCGTCCTATTCGGCTTTATTTATATGAACTTCAGATTGGTCCTTACGCAGCCATATTGCGTCTTTAAAGGTGGCTACACCAATTTAAAAAAGAGCTTCTAATGTTAAGAAACTAGCATTAACCCACACTACGCACTTTTCCACTATGGATCTCATTATCCCACCCACTTGTCAAAGAAACTTGAGACTCGTCCTTGTCCAAACGAGAACTTGTTTAACTAGAAAGGTTTCAAAAATGCACATCAAAATGTTTGAGGTTTATTAACAAACTTTCACTTTTTACAACAGTATTTTAATTTGAACAGCTTAGATGTTCTTAATTTTTTTTCGAAACTCATATTACGGAAACTTATTTAACGTTAATAGATACGTAAACTTATTTAAAAATTGTAAATCTGTTTTTAGGTCGTGCAACATTATATTGTACTTCATTGCACAAATTGTCATTTTGTATACATCTGATTCGATCAAAAAAGTTTTTTAGTACAGACTGTTCGCTCGTTATATTATTTAAAATAACTTTCTCTTTTTAATAAAATAAAATTGATAATTACAAAATAAAAATATAAAAAAAGAAGGAAAAAAATTAAATTTAAGAAAAAAAAACAACATAAAAAAGTCCTGGTAACTAAAGTAACTAACTGCAGTAATTAAAAAGATTGCTGAATTCTCTTAACCCAACAAGATTACCGCCGAATACTCTCAACCCCACAACATTACCGTCGAATTCTCTCAACCCCACAATATTAATGTCGAATTCTCTCAACCCCACAACGTTACCGTCGAATTCTCTAAACCCCACAACATTACCGTCGAATTCCCTCAACCCCACAACATTAACAGTCGAGAAGTTTTACTATTGGAGTCGGAGTCGCTAAACAAAGTCGCGACTCCGACTCCAATAGTAAAACTTCTCGGTATTGTACGTGCATGTGCAAAATATTTAACCTTTCATATAATTTCAATTATATGAAAGGTTAAACAAAATCAACAAAGAATTTTTCATGAAACTGGCAAAAAAAAAAAAAAAAACTTTTTATTATCGCGTAATATTTTTTAAAGAATTCAAAGAGTTTTTCAAAATTTTGTAAAAAGAAATTCTTCGAAATTGAAGTTGAAGTCGGAGTTGTTGTTTTTTTTACGACTCCACACCCTTGCAGTTTTATATAATTTATTCCAATATATGAGCATATTGGTGAGAACTTTGCAAAAATACAACTTTCATTTTTAGAAGAGAATGAAACAAGCATTAAAACATGTAGAGAAAATCGTATGACAATATATCAAATGAAAGTGGAAAATAAATAGTATCCAAGCCTGGATTTGCAAAGAAAATAGATTAATTGAATATATTCCATGTTGTTGATATTCTCTAAATCTTGTTGGTCAAAATGTTGCATTCCAGTTGCAGTTTATTTTTTGATTTTATTTAAAAACTGTTTTTTAAACGAAATCTAGGAATACCAACTTTGAAATGGCTTTTGGATACACGTTGGTCTGCTCACGTCGATGCA